CTTTGAGAAAGTGAGTGACCTGCTTAAAGTCATCCTGTGAGCTTCTGTGGCTCGACCCGAAGCTGGGGCTCTCCAAGGCCAGTCTAACACTGTAACCACCACATCACACTGGTTTTCTTCTGAAGAAAAGAGATGACATGGATGAAAGAGATGACATGGATGCATATTTCCAGTGGAGAGTTCCTTCTTCCACATTCTCATTTTTCAACCTTGTCATCTCCTTTCGGACAACCTTCCATGTAAGAACTTCGCTGGACGTACATATCTTTAAGCACATTATTTTTCAAGGAACCTCCAAGACTGTGTTTTAAACAAAACTGACTTTCAATTTTACACATACCCTCAACCTAACATTCTGCTTTTGTTCTAGATTTGTTGTGCCTGTTCTATAACTAAACACTTTGCTTTACTCCAGTGTAAAGTCTCTATTACACCTGATTGAAGATGCATGTTCACTCTCTACAAATGAGCTGGCTTTTTATCAGTCAGAATCAGTATTAACAGTATTACTCTGTGTGGACAAGGAGTAAACTTTGCTGATAAGAGCTAAGTTTTAGTTTCATGTATATCAAACATGTTTTGTCTTTTTGTCCATTTGTTTATGTTTTTTATTTTTTATTTCACTAGTGTGGTTTTCCTCTTTGCTTATAGATTAAAGCAATACTTCTAAAAATATGTTTGGGGTGTGTGTGTTTAACAAACAGTTGCTTAATATCCTCACCACAGAACATTCAATTCTAGCCTTGCAAATTACACCCAGTAAAATGCTCTCATTCTTTATGGTACTAAATGAAGATGAAACATTTCCACCTTACAGGATTGTTTCAAAGGTGTTAAATGATTTAATTTCTTTTACTTTTATTGTAGAATAAAATAATATAGATGATCTAGGGTGGGGAGTAATGATATAAACCTACATTACAAGGCAAGCTGTAACTGAAACACCACAAAACACTTTTATTTTCTCTAAGACCTGCTTAGAGATCTTAGAGATCTGCTATTTGTGAATAGTGATAATATGGATGTGAGAAGACTAGGGCATCGGGGGGGGG